TATATATATATATATATATATATATATATATGAAAACTTATACTTAAAAGAAATTCAATGAAAATTTGAAATGTTTTGTATATAAAAATAAGTTTAAGTACTATAATTACTAAAACTAATATCAAAATAAATTAAAGCTAAATATAATTATAAAAAAAATATAAAAATAAGTTTAAGTACTATAATTACTAAAACTAATATCAAAATAAATTAAAGCTAAATATAATTATAAAAAAAACAAAAACTAATAAAAATTACGAAAGTACATAACAAAATGACTAAAACCTAAACAAAATTAAAATGAAAACTGAACATATACAGATATATATATAAGCTAATTCAAAAGCTAATTTAAAATATGAATAAATACTATAATTGTTTATAAATAATACTAAAATAACATTGGTTTAAATCACGTGCCAGGTTGAGTTCATGTTGACTTCAAATGCTTTTGAAACCGTTTTATACTATGTTCAAAATAAGTTTCACTCTCATTGAAACTTTCACGTGGTGTAACCAAGAAGTAAAACATTTTAACCTATTTCCTTACACCTTGAATGAGTGTATTTTAAAAATTTATAATATATCATATATTTACAGTCAGAACATTTTACTAAAGAGTTGCTCCACTTGCTTTGTCATAAAAAGGTCAAATTATATGCATATTGGTTGCACCACATGACTTTGAATAAATAATAATAAAAGAGTATGCCAAATTTCATAATATAGTTTGCTTTTCAAGAATTTCATTCTTTTAATGAATATTTATTCTTCAATATGATACATTGACAGTGTAATCATCCTGTCAGTTTTTTTAATTTATGGCCTAAAATATCAAAATTAATAATTAAAAAATTATATTACGGATAAAAACAGAAATGTATGAACAGCATTTTAATGTACTTTTGATTTAATTAATAGATAGAGCAAAATAATAAGTGTCACATGATTGAAGTGTTGGTTCTTCTGGCTCTTGCAGTAGACCTGAAATGTTTGATGACAGTAAATACAAAGAGAGGGAAGGTAATTGTTCTCTATGAACTTGATCTTTATAGGAGGCAGAGCAGGGGGCAGAGGCAGCCATTGACCCAGGGGGAGAAGATCTTTCAGATGATCCACCCACAACTTATGAGGTTGCTGAAGAAACCGTTCCAAACAATGAGCTAGAGAGGGACACCCCAAAACCGGAACCATCAGCCATTGAGGAAGAGGAATGTGAAGATGTGACGGAGGACACAATGTCCAGAAGATGGAGCCTGGAGGCAACAGCTGGTGTGTCACAGGAGGATGAAGAAGAGGAGGAGCTAATGCCATCAGTAGATGGAGAATCTGTGGAATCTGAGACCTTCATTACTGAGACAGAATCAGAATTAGGTATTCACAGAAGAATTGAGCTGACCTTCACTTGACAATTCATTTTAAGATGGAAAAAGACTCAAATTTGAGTTAAGAAATGCATCCTGATGCTGTATGTAAAATATTGCAGGTGTCCCTCAGATCAATGGAGATCAGCGTGTTCGTTCTTTGCCATCTGTAAGACAAGACGCCCACCGATACCAGCGTGTGGACGAGCCGGGCAGAGGCAGCCATTGACCCAGGGGGAGAAGATCTTTCAGATGATCCACCCACAACTTATGAGGTTGCTGAAGAAACCGTTCCAAACAATGAGCTAGAGAGGGACACCCCAAAACCGGAACCATCAGCCATTGAGGAAGAGGAATGTGAAGATGTGACGGAGGACACAATGTCCAGAAGATGGAGCCTGGAGGCAACAGCTGGTGTGTCACAGGAGGATGAAGAAGAGGAGGAGCTAATGCCATCAGTAGATGGAGAATCTGTGGAATCTGAGACCTTCATTACTGAGACAGAATCAGAATTAGGTATTCACAGAAGAATTGAGCTGACCTTCACTTGACAATTCATTTTAAGATGGAAAAAGACTCAAATTTGAGTTAAGAAATGCATCCTGATGCTGTATGCAAAATATTGCAGGTGTCCCTCAGATCAATGGAGATCAGCGTGTTCGTTCTTTGCCATCTGTAAGACAAGATGCCCACCGATACCAGCGTGTGGACGAGCCCTTACCTCCCAGTGAGTGTGTGTATGTGTTTCTGTACGTCTGCACGTTTGTGTGTGTAAATACTTTGCTTATGTGTTTATGTGTTTGTTTGTAAAGACAGTTTCGCCAAATTACTGTATGCCATTTTGGCTTAACAACTTAATCAGGTACCATCACACTCTACTCTCCATTCTCATTTCCCACCTTTCTTTCCTCAGACTGGGAGGCTCGCATTGACAGTCATGGCCGTATCTTCTTTGTGGATCATGTGAACCGCACCACCACATGGCAGAGACCCACTGGCCCACCAGCTCCTCAGGGTCTGACCCGCTCCAGCTCCATACAGCAGATGGAGCAACTCAACCGCAGGTTAGTTTTTTTTGATAGGAATTAACATTTCATATTACAAAGCCAAATCTAACTTTTGACTGAGAGGACACACCCAGCAAACAGAATGTTCTAATGTTTTTGTGAATCAATTTCTAATGTACTAAGAACATTCTTTAAAGGCTTTAATCTTTATAATCATACATTAACATTCCCATAATGTTCTTGAAACCAAAAATTGCTAGCTGCAAAGGTGTGTTCGCATGTACCTTGCATGCAAAATTTAGTCCATGTGATCTGGAATTTCATGAGAGGGACATGTGAAGTGAAACATTTCCCAACATGGATTTCACATTGAATTCAAGTTTGAAAAGGAAAATGGAAAATGGAAGTTGAATTGTTTTAACCAGAAGCGATGAATTCATTTAACTTCTTGTTCACTTAAAAAATAGCTGAAACCCTGAAAACTCAAAAAATCTAGTAAAAATGACAGAAAGTATTGTGACAAGATGACTGGAATGAAAAATGATACTTGGAGTTTCATTGTACAAAGTACTACATTTCTGAATGTGTGATTACTGTATTGTCTTTCTGGCAGGTATCAGAGTATTCGTAGAACAATGACCAGTGAAAGGTCTGAGGAACAAAGAGTGGATGAGCCTCCTTCTGAAGAGACCAACCTGCTGCCCCACTCCATCTGTGGTAAGCTGTCAATCACATTGAGAAATATAGATGATAGCGTTTGGGAACACAAATGATCACTATGCTGAGATAAATGTAAGATGGCATAGTGTGGGTAGAATAAAAGGTTTTTGTTCAGTCTGTGTTTGTTGATTTGTCTGTTCTCATGTAGAATACCGAAGGGACGGCTTTATGGGTCAAGCCAGCTCACGTTCTCGTCTGGCTTTGCTGCTTCAGTCTCCTGGTGCAAAGTTCCTCTCCAGTCCAGACTTCTTCTCTGTTCTGCATTCTAATTCTGTGAGCTAAAGCACACAGTGACACAGATGTCAGTGCTTACACGCACACCTCAAACTAAGTTGATAATGTATAGCTGGCATTATTACAAAGCTATGGAGCACATTATGTGGGGAAAAAAACAAGAGAACATGGCTACAAATTAAAAATCATGGGAAATCATTCTTAATTTGTAGCCACAATATATATTTTTTCTTCTGCATGTCATGTAAAAAAAGCACTTATTACATGGCTACTTAGTACTTACCTAGTAAATGCATACATGGACATGAAATATTAAGTTATTTAAAGGGATCATATGATGCGATTTCAAGTTTTCCTTTCTCTTTGGAGTGTTACAAGCTGATTGTGCATAGATAAGATCCCTGAAGTTGCAAAGACTAAAGTCTCAAAACCAAAGAGATATTCTTTATCAAAGTTAAGACTCTGCCACGCCCCCCTAAAACGGCTCATTCATTAATTACATCATTATAACATAACACTCTGCCTAGCAAGATGAATACTGCAGCACTAATACAATATTAATGTTATGTTATGTTATGTTATGTTATGTTATTTAATGCTCAATCTAAGTTACCTTTTTTTCAGGGCTAGTTAGCTAACATATGTAGTTACATTGTCAAATGTTTTCCACTATTTTAAATTCTGTCTCATCCATGTCTTTGTGTCTCTTACACTGTTTTTCTGAGATTTGTTTTTGTCTTGCTTTAAATGGGGACTCCTGAGCTTCTAGCCAGATAACAAATATTTCATGTTCACTTCTTATGTTCAAACACTGAAGTCCTCTTAGGACATTTTTACTGCATTCAGTAACTAACTGTTGCTGCAAAATGGCACTAATTTGCTATTTTAACTTGTGTTGATATGAGAGAAATTGTAGAATAAAACAAAACTTGGAAGTAGCAGTGGTATGTTGCCACAGAAAATGGTCATGTATCCATGTCAGGTCATTATAGCAAAATATTTAAATGCACAGTGACTTGACTGGTGACTTGACAGTGGAATCAATTATTAAGGAAGCTGTGCAATGATTATCAGATTTTGTTTTTATATTTCCCTTCAGCGTGCCTATCGCATGTTCACAAGTAACACATGTCTGAAGCACATGATCAGTAAAGTTCGACGGGAAGTACAACACTTCGAGCGGTACCAGCACAACCGGGACCTTGTCAGCTTCCTCAATCTGTTCTCAAACGAGCAGCTGGAGCTGCCACGGGGCTGGGAGATGAAACACGACCCCACTGGGAAGGTGCGTGTTTGTTTTTTTCTCTCTCCATCAGGAACTGTGCACCTGTTCTTTCTTAGGGGCCTCTAGACCTGCATATGAGTAGTCTAACGGGATAAACTGTACAGACAGAAACTGAAAGCTGAGTTTAGGATGTTCATGCAGGCCCATCTGGTTGTCTCCTTAATGCTTTAATTGGTGTCTCTGACAGGAACAATGAACAGATGTTTGTCTTATTGATTCTAATCAGCCTGTCCGTTCTGTATACTTCTGCTGATGTTTCACGTACGGTTCTTTGCTCACACTCTCTGTCTATGTGTTTATGGACCACAGCCCTTCTTTGTGGATCATAACTGTCGTGCCACATCATTCATTGACCCACGGCTGCCCTTACAGAACTCCCGGTCCAGCGTCCTGCTGGCTCACCGACAGCACCTGTCCCGTCAGCGCAGCCACAGTGCAGGAGAGGTGAGAACTATAGTTCTGTATACAGTACAGATTTTAGCAATACACCGTGTCCGTGGTAGTGTAGAGTTAGTGTGACATTTTGTCCTTTTGTCAGTTGTGTTCATAACTGTCGTGCCACATCATTCATTGACCCACGGCTGCCCTTACAGAGCTCCCGGTCCAGCGGCCTGCTGGCTCACCGACAGCACCTGTCCCGTCAGCGCAGCCACAGTGCAGGAGAGGTGAGAACTGTAGTTCTGTATACAGTACAGATTTTAGCAATACACCATGTCCGTGGTAGTGCAGAGTTAAATAAAGTGATTAACAAAAGAACATTTTGTCCTTTTGTCAGTTGTGTGGTTTCTATTTCTGTCGCTTCAAACTAGGTATCCCTGCCCACAGTGAAATCTTATTGCTCCTGGACGTGTTTTAAATGTGCTGTCTAGTTACCTAGTTTCTCTAACAATAATACTGAATTAATTGCTTGCATCTAAAAAACTTAAATCGGGCATTGTCGTGAGGAAAATACACTGAAATTATGAAGCCTCCGCTCATGTTTCAGGTAGCAGATGACTCTCGCTCTCTGAGTCCTCCTGTCCAGGGACGGTCGTCAAGAAACAGTCAGTATCAGGACTTGGTGCCTATAGGTGAGTGTGCACTCACATGTTTACAAACAGGGACGGTCGTCAAGAAACAGTCAGTATCAGGACTTGGTGCCTGTAGGTGAGTGTGCACTCACATGTTTACAAAGTGTGCACACACTGACATATCATCACATGTGCACAGACACATTACACATCTGTGTTTTTACAGCTTATAATGAGAAGATTGTCGCCTTTCTGCGACAGCCCAACATTTTTGAGATTCTGCAAGAGAGACAGCCAGAGCTTGTGAGAAACCACTCGCTTAGGTACATTTTTCTCCAGTTTTGTGTTGAAACAACAGATGTCAACGGAGTGCAGAATTTCATACTGTACATTTAAGAGATTGTGCTACAGTTATGTACAGTTTTCATTATATTATAGCTAAATGGTAAAATATGTTTCATGTTTTTTTGGTTGTGTTTCAGAGAGAAGGTACAGTTCATCCGCAATGAGGGGCCAACCGGGTTGGCCCGTCTGTCTAGTGATGCAGACCTAGTTATATTGCTCAGGTTAGTGTCCGCAGCATTTGCATCAAATTTAATTACAGCTAACCATGTGCCCGCCTGTTTCCCATTGCTTGAGATATGCATGCATTAGTTGACTGTGTATGTACTGTACACTATCATTCAAAAGTTTGGGTTCAGAAATTTATTTTCTCTTTCTTTTTTTTTCTTTTTTTGAAGGAAATACTTTTATTCAACAACGATGCATTAAATTGATCAAAAGTGACAGTAAGGACATTTACAGTGTGATTTCCATTTTAAATAAATGCTGCTTTTTTTATTTTTATTTTCATCAAAGAATCCTGAAAGAAATGTTTGACAGTTTCCACAAAAATATTAAGCAGCACAGTTGCACTGATGATAAATAATGATGATGATAATAATAAGAAATATTCCTTGAGCAGTATATTAGAATGGTCTCTAAAGGATCATGTGACACTGAAGTCTAGAGTAATGACAGCTGAAAATTCAGATTTTAAAATAAATTCAAATGGTAAATAGTTATTATAAATTGTAATATTTCACAATATTATTGTTGGTGTTATATTTTTGATCAAATAAATGCATGCTTGATGAGCTTTCTTTCAAAAAACATTAAAAAGTCTTAAAACAGCCCAAAACTTTTGAACAGTAGTGTATATGTTAAAACAAGCTGTGTACCTATTTTATGATGGCCTGACTTTGTACACCTAGCTCAGGTTAGAATACACACACCTGTTACCTGCATCTGTGTTTTTACAGCTTATAATGAGAAGATTGTCGCCTTTCTGCGACAGCCCAACATTTTTGAGATTCTGCAAGAGAGACAGCCAGAGCTTGTGAGAAACCACTCGCTTAGGTACATTTTTCTCCAGTTTTGTGTTGAAACAACGGATGTCAACGGAGTGCAGAATTTCATACTGTACATTTAAGAGATTGTGCTACAGTTATGTACAGTTTTCATTATATTATAGCTAAATGGTAAAATATGTTTCATGTTTTTTTGGTTGTGTTTCAGAGAGAAGGTACAGTTCATCCGCAATGAGGGGCCAACCGGGTTGGCCCGTCTGTCTAGTGATGCAGACCTAGTTATATTGCTCAGGTTAGTGTCCGCAGCATTTGCATCAAATTTAATTACAGCTAACCATGTGCCCGCCTGTTTCCCATTGCTTGAGATATGCATGCATTAGTTGACTGTGTATGTACTGTACACTATCATTCAAAAGTTTGGGTTCAGAAATTTATTTTCTCTTTCTTTTTTTTTCTTTTTTTGAAGGAAATACTTTTATTCAACAACGATGCATTAAATTGATCAAAAGTGACAGTAAGGACATTTACAGTGTGATTTCCATTTTAAATAAATGCTGCTTTTTTATTTTTATTTTCATCAAAGAATCCTGAAAGAAATGTTTGACAGTTTCCACAAAAATATTAAGCAGCACAGTTGCACTGATGATAAATAATGATGATGATAATAATAAGAAATATTCCTTGAGCAGTATATTAGAATGGTCTCTAAAGGATCATGTGACACTGAAGTCTAGAGTAATGACAGCTGAAAATTCAGATTTTAAAATAAATTCAAATGGTAAATAGTTATTATAAATTGTAATATTTCACAATATTATTGTTGGTGTTATATTTTTGATCAAATAAATGCATGCTTGATGAGCTTTCTTTCAAAAAACATTAAAAAGTCTTAAAACAGCCCAAAACTTTTGAACAGTAGTGTATATGTTAAAACAAGCTGTGTACCTATTTTATGATGGCCTGACTTTGTACACCTAGCTCAGGTTAGAATACACACACCTGTTACCTGACCCTCTCTCCTTGCAGCCTGTTTGAAGAGGAAGTGATGTCTTATGTGCCGCCCAATGCCTTACTGCTCTCCAGCTACTCTCATGCCTCCCCACAGAGCTCCCCTGGTGAGACGTCAAATGACCCGGACTCACATCTTAACAAAAAATTCCACGTTTCCCCCTTTTTCCCGCCTTGTATCCTCCATTACAAGACTTAATAATGAGCTAATGAAAGTGGAAGACCCTGTGGACTAATCTGTGTGTTAACCTGATCACGCATGTGTTTAAAACAGTTATTCTGATTGTGATTTGCTTTTAATTGTTAGAAGAGCCTTGTATTGTGGATCGATTGCCAACGTAGGATTCAACCCACTTTTCATTCCAGCTATTTACATCTTTTCTTGCTCTCAGGAACTCCACGAGCCAATGCTCGAGCCCCTGCACCCTACAAGCGGGATTTTGAGGCCAAACTAAGAAACTTTTACCGCAAAATGGAAACCAAGGGTTACGGGCAGGGCCCAGGAAAAGTGAAGTGAGTTCCATCTTCAAACACATTTGATAATTCTCTATCAACAACAAGCATCTGATGTCCACCAGTTCGGTGGTTGGTTGAAAGAATTGAAATCCTGTCTAATGGAGTCTAATATTTGAAACAAGTAAAGTATATTGATAAATGGACTATGGACTATTTTTCAACTTTAGTTTCCGTTTCTACCAAGAAATTAGCATTGTAAACATTAAATAACTTGGTTGTTTCTACAACTAGAATTTGTTCTAGATCTTTAGCCAAAACAATATGGCGCGTCAAGGTAAACTGTCAGCGCCAAACATGGAGCCACTTTAATATGCTTAAATTCATCTGCCCTTCTCTGGATTCTCTGGTTTATTGTGTCCTGATGTGGTTTCCTTACCTTTCTAGGTTAATAATTAGAAGAGATCACCTGCTGGAGGACGCTTTCAACCAGATCATGTGTTATTCTCGCAAAGACCTCCAGAAAAGCAGACTTTATGTCAGCTTTGTTGGAGAAGAAGGGTTGGTGGTATACATATTTTCTGTGCGTATTGCTTTGACCTGTGTATTATTGAGATCATTTAAGTGATGTTTCTACATTAGTTCATCTCATGCAGATGGCAAAGCTGACTCATAACTGTAGCTATAATTTAAATGAAGATGCCCCTTTAGTTCATTTTACATTTTGTAACCTTAACCACATTTTTAAAAAAAATTATTACATATATTTGTGCATTGATTGGAAATTGTCAGTGCATTATATAGGTGTCTGTTTTTCTTCAGGCTGGACTATAGTGGACCATCCAGAGAGTTCTTCTTCCTGGTTTCCCGTGAGCTCTTTAACCCATACTATGGACTATTTGAATACTCAGCTAATGACACTTACACTGTGCAGATCAGCCCCATGTCAGCCTTTGTGGACAACCATCATGAATGGTAATCAACCGATGGATGGATGAATTTCATTTACAATCAATGTCCAAAGGGTTTTATATATTTTTAGACTAATCTTGTCTTCTTTAGGTTCCGGTTCAGTGGACGCATCCTGGGGCTTGCTCTAATTCATCAGTACCTGTTGGATGCATTCTTCACCCGACCCTTCTACAAAGGCCTTCTTCGCATGTAAGTCTTCACTTTGAGCACATGAGGATGTAAACTCTGTGTAATTCTGTCACGTAATATGTAATATATATCTCTTTGCAGTCCATGTGATTTGAGTGATCTAGAGTTTTTGGATGAGGAGTTCCATCAGAGTCTCCAGTGGATGAAGGACAATGACATTGAAGATACGCTAGACCTCAACTTTACTGTCAATGAAGAGGTGTTTGGACAGGTACTAATGGCTTATGGGTATGTGTTTGTGAGCGTTGGCTGATAACACCAGTATATTTAGAGGACTTATATGGGATTTAGCTGATCTCTCAATATTTGATAGTAAATATTTGAGAACTATTAAACATTTACATCTAGAATTCCAAAAAGAAAAAGTGCACTTTAAATACCCGGATGATGCACTTAAATAACTGAAAAAACAAAGTGTGGAATTTTGGACTCTTCATGCACTCAACTGTCATAGCTTTAATTATGAGGCGAAGGGGGAGTGGCGATCAGATTCCGATTATGAATGACAAAATAACCTTATATAAATCATACAACTACATGGTTGAGTGCATAGGTACATAGTGTATAACTGCATAGTGTATAGTGTGTCATTTGGGATGCAGCTATATTTGGCTCTATTTCAGTTACCGTAAAACATTAAAACAAACTTTTAATAGTTTTTCCGTTTTTCTGTATGTTATGACGTGGTTTTCGCTAAGCAGTTGGAAAAAAAAAAACAATTCACATAGATTTGCACTGAAAAGCAAATATACAAACATCCTGGCCACAACTCAGACAACAGCCTAGCAACCACTAAAACCACAGTAGCAACACCCTAGCAACCACCCAAACCACCATAGCAACACTCTAAGAACCACTCAGAACACTTTAACAATGGAATTAGCACTTGGAAAGTTGTCAGAACAAGATTATGACTGCGAATTCTGAACTTTCTTCAGAAATGTAACATCTATTTTAGTTAGTCAAGTTCATTGTGAAGTTGTATAATATGGGAGTGAACTAGAGGTTTCTTTATGTCAGATTACAGAGCGTGAGCTGAAGCCGGGTGGGTCTGGCATCCCTGTGTCAGACAAGAACAAGAAAGAATACATTGAACGCATGGTGAAGTGGCGGATTGAGAGGGGTGTGGCCCAGCAGACCGAGAGTCTTGTGCGAGGATTCTATGAGGTATGACGTCATCTGAATCTGTGAATATTAATGACTCATGATTTAACTCTGGTTGATCTGAGACCATGTGACTGCGCAGGTGGTGGACATCCGTCTCGTCTCCGTGTTTGATGCCCGAGAGCTGGAGCTGGTCATTGCTGGGACCGCGGAGATTGACCTAGCCGACTGGAGAAGCAATACAGAATACAGAGGAGGTATTTTACTGGATTCAGGTGTTGTTTCACACCAGGATATCATACAGCAGGATACCATAATGTGACTTTATCTCTGTCTTTGAAGGTTACCATGACAACCACATAGTGATTCGATGGTTCTGGGCTGCAGTGGAGCGTTTCAACAACGAACAGAGACTACGACTCCTTCAGGTATACCCAGAACAGCGTGGGTCTCTTATACTACCATTCAGACGAAATGTATCACAGTTTCCACAAAAATATTAAGCAGCAAGGGTTTTCAACATTGATAAGATTAGAATGATTTTTGAAGGATCATGTGACACTGAAGAAATGGATGCTAAAATCTCAGATTTGCCATCACAGAAATAAAATTTAAATTTGAATATATATTCAAATAGAAAAGAGTTATCATAAATTGTAATAATGTTTCACAATATTGCTGTATTTTTGATTAAATAAATGCAGCCATGGTGAGCATAAGAGATCAATGAAATTAAATTAAGTCAATATGTATTTTTTTGCATTTTTCCAGTTTGTTACCGGCACTTCCAGCATTCCCTATGAGGGCTTTGCCTCTCTGCGAGGTAGCAATGGCCCACGTCGATTCTGTGTGGAGAAATGGGGCAAAGTGACCTCCCTCCCACGGTATTTCTGAGCTTTTTTTATGTGTAGTGTCTCACACAAAGATCTTACAGTATATGTTATCCCATACTGATTATCAATCAGCTAATGCCATATTGTCTGTATATGTTTGTGTAGGGCTCACACCTGCTTTAACCGCCTGGATCTCCCTCCCTACCCCTCCTTCTCCATGCTCTATGAGAAGATGCTCACTGCTGTGGAGGAGACCAGCACCTTTGGTCTGGAGTGAGCTCCAATCATAGCCAAAGTGCTACTGATTTTTTTTTCTTTCCCAGTTCTCCACAGTCTGGCTTACCATGCAAGCTTTATTCTCAACCCTCAATCTTCCCTACGACCTTGGTCATCGGACACTTACATAATAATATTTTGTTGAAGTCTTCAGAACTGGAATATATGCCATCAAATGACACAATGGGGATGTGCCAACTCCTGCTTTATACTGTATGGACTCAGAATCCTGTGATAACTGCATTCAATTCCTCACTCAAAAACAGACTTACACATTCACAGAAATCAGAGCTAAAGTCTTGATCTGGTTTTGGTTTTTGGAATGGTCTAGACCAGTATATTTTGATCTAGGTTGTAGGGTTTTGTCTTTTGTTCTTGAATGATCTGTTTTGTTAAGTCCAAAGATGTTTCATTACAGTAATGTAGCCATTCCATTCCATATCTATAGGGTTTGAAGGAACAAACCTGAGGGTTTTTGCTGCAGGGCTTTGTCATGGAGATATGATGTCAGTCAAGAAGGACTTTTTTGGTTTCAGAGGTTTCACTTCTTGTTGGCGGTCTTGGTTTTGAAGGGTCTGATTCTGGACCTAAATGATATTGATCTTAGCTGCAGCTCTGAAAACACAACACCTCATTTTTTCCATCTTTAAATAGAACGAAAACACACAAAACAGCATGCACACTCTCTCATAGAGATTCTTGCACCAAATGTAGTGGCTGTAGAATAGCAACCTGAACGTCCTAGGTTCAAACCGTGAACTAGAAAGTTCCTCTATCACCTCTTGTGCCCTTGAGCAAGGCATGTATCAGCAGACTGTTCCAGGGGACTGTAAATGTAGTAATTCACTTTGGTTGGCTGACACTGATTAACTAACAAACATCAACACTCAGTACTTTGTAACATGCACACATTTTTTAATCCACTTCTCAACCTTTTATGCAACCCACTAATGTTACTAAAAAACTATGAATGTATAGACACTGATCACCATGTGCAATGTGTGCAACAGATTTGTGTGTATCAGGAAAGGAAGATTTGTTCTTAGAGTCCATCATAAGGAGACCTATTGTTCTAAACTGTGGTAACAGACACAAACAGTGGCCTTGAAATTATCTTTATTAAAATGTATAGTTGGGTATAGTTAATAGCATGGTGATGTGTGCAGTCCACTGGAGTAACTTAAAACCAGGGCTGCAGTGGTTAAAACCAGTAAAAAAACAAAACAAGCTTCTTCTGCTATGGAAAAATAAAGGAAAATGAAAGAAAGAAAAAACAAAGAAAAAAGATTAGAAGAACTGTTTAACGTGTAGGGAGCAGCAAACCAAACTAAAACACCCTTGCACAAGTGGTATGAAGTATTTTGGAAATATGGCATAATAATGGAACAATCTCTGAGCAGGAATTTCCATTTAATGAACCACAGATGGAAGCTCAACGCTAAAATAATGGATTAAAAGGTCCTCATTTTTGGGTGACAAAGTTGTATCCCTCGTTTACAGACATGTAGTTTCCTTCTGTGGTCCCTTTCCCAAGCCCTCACACACACACACACACACACTCAGCAATACACAAAAATTACACACCACACAAATGCTGATCTGGCCAAAGCACGGATCCTAGGATATGAATTTGTCTTAAAACAGCTCCTTTCTCTATGTAACTAATCTTTGGATAAACATGCAGGGTCAACAAAGCAGTACCTGAGTTTGACCCTTAGATGGCGATGTGTCAGCTTAATATTGCATGCTAGAATTAGTGAAACAACTGGAGTCCAGATTAGCTTAATTTGCATGAGAAGTTGCTGTTAATTAGGGGTGGGATGGGACTGGGGACAAAAATAAATAAATAATGTCTCTTCCATACTTTTCATACTTCATCTGCACTGTTATTTAAACTTTATGGGTCACTGATCATGTAAAATGTTGATGAAAGAGCCATCACTTAAAAACAGTTGGTAAAAATATGAACCTGCATGCGCTCCATGATGTGTCCATATTTGTATATAGCTGTAATATGTGTATGTCAGTCTTGTCCTGTGTTTAAATTATATTTTGCACTGAATGCACCAGAGATGTGAGTGCTAGTCTGGTCTCTTTTGGTGTTTGTCTTTGTGGTTTGTGAGTCTACTTTCATTTGTTTGAAATTGTACTTTTCCCGCTGACACTGTACTGGCAGATTTGAAAAGTGTTAGAGCCATGATTTACATTTTATCTTTCTGCTTGGCCAATCAAACTGCACATGTCAGCTTATTCATTGAGTTTGCCTTTCCATGTTCCAAAGTCCAGTGCTTCAGTTGTCTACTGTAGGGACAAGAAAAGCCCAAAGATCCAGACCTGCAAAGTTCCAGCCCATTTCACACTGATGGTATTAAAAGGTGTAAAACAGAGCAGGCACTGAACACTCAAAAACAAAAACAAAAACCTGCCTACTATACAGATCAAAATTAGAGAACTTTTTTCCCCTGAAATATTGGTAATCTTCATCACTCAAAATTTGAAGGAATGCTGTTTGTATGCCACTGTTCTGCTAACATGTTTTACAAAATAACCAGAGAATTTTAACAAAAAAACATTATTTTGTGGAAAACACAGTGATCATAATTAGAGAACAGTAACCACTGTAGCATGAAAGAAGATTACAACAAAAATTTTGGAGGGTTACAGCTGCCAGAAATTAGTAGGAGAAAGGAGGCCCTTGCTTTTAATGACTTCAGCACATCTGCGTGATGTGTCCCTAGTTTCTGACACTGCACTGGTATGATCTTGGTCCACTCTTCTTCCAGTCTCTTCCATAGTTTGGTAACTATAGTGGGTTTCTTGGCCATAACTTTGTCGCCAATAATTTTTCAGAGATTTTCAATCTGATTTAGATCAGGACTCGACCATCCTTTTCATTATGTCAGTGTCCTTAGCTTCAAGGAACTGCTTTATCTGTTTATCAGTGTGACGGGCATTGTCTTGCATGAAAATTGCAGGCTGATTGGGAGATGCTAGCAGTGAAGGAACTGCATGTTGCTGAATGAGGTTCTGATAAATATTTTCATTCACCCTGCCATGTAGCTGTATAAGAGGCCCAACTCCTGCTGCAGAAAAAAACAATGACACTTCCTCCTCCACCTTTTACGGACTTCTTTATGCACTTAGGGTTCAGTCTTTCCCCATTTTGACGCCAAACAAAATGTTTCCCATCAGACCCAAATAAATTTAAATTAAATAAAAAATAAAACTTGCTCTCATCACTAAAGTGAACTTTGGACCAGTTCTTCTCTCTCCACACAACATGCTCCTCAGCAAAGGTGAGCCTAGCCTTTTGATTCTTTCTGCTGATGAGAGGCTTGGTCACTGTACTTTCAGACTGTCTTCTCTTAAACATGCCGAGACAGATCCTTACCCTCTTCAGCACTGAACTGGCAAGCAATTCCAGCTGCAGTGTTGAACCAGTTCCCCATTGAGAGTCTCTGCATTATCCTGTCTTCTCGTGCATTTGCATCCTGTCTTACATGCTTACATACTTGCCTTTTTGGGAGACTTGATCTATCTATCTATCTATCTATCTATCTATCTATCGTGTGTTTGTCTGTCTATCTCTCTGTCTATCTCTCTCTCTGTCTGTCTGTCTGTCTATCTCTCTCTCTCTGTCTGTCTGTCTATCTCTCTATCTATCTGTCTGTCTCTCTCTCTGTCTGTCTGTCTGTCTGTCTGTCTATCTATCTCTCTCTGTCTGTCTGTCTATCTCTCTCTCTCTGTCTGTCTGTCTATCTCTCTATCTATCTGTCTGTCTATCTCTCTGTCTGTCTGTATGTCTATTTCTATGTTTGTCTGTCTATCTCTCTGTCAGCCTGTCTGTCTATCTCTGTCTGTTTGTCTGTCTATCTCTCTGTCTGTCTATCTCTCTCTGTCTATCTGTCTGTCTATCTCTCTCTCTGTCTATCTCTCTCTCTCTCTGTCTGTCTGTCTATCTATCTATCTGTCTGTCTATCTCTCTGTCTGTCTGTATGTCTATCTCTATGTTTGTCTGTCTACCTCTCTGTCAGTCTGTCTGTCTATCTATCTGTCTATCTGTCTGTCTGTCTGTCTGTCTATCTATCTGTCGTACAATGGGCGAATTCTAACGATCACGATGATGACGTGGGTGGTGACGTAGTACCTCAACGCTCGTGTTGGCAGCAGAGCAGAATTTGAAACCGTGGAACCGGCGGACAAGAGCCGAATCCAAGAATCGAAACCGATTTACCTCAGCATGGACTAACCAGACAAGCGTGCTTATTCTCTGTTCAACTTATTTTATTATAGTTTATTACAGATAGGTTGTCCGCTGAACTACAGCTGTTGTTCCCGTGAGAAGAAGAGGAAGTCCGTTCTAAACTTTAGTGTAGTGACTTATTAGTCTTGCATGAAACATAGCTCTGTCTGTCTGTCTGTATTTTGAACAAAATGAGGCGAATCTCTTTTTGGACGTTTGTCTAAATAAAGGACAGAGTTTATTCTGGGAGTTAGCGGTATCGTTGAGGGCTAAATGAGCTAATCTGTGCTAGCTGGAGGCTAGCATCGGTTATCGTGTTCAAACTCAACTGAACTCACTCCACTGAAGCGAATTCATTTATTGTCAACTCTCTGAAAAACCGCGAACTAAACACTCTTTTTCTGAAGCCTTTTCACTGTTGACGGCGTGAACACCGTGAAGAGGCCGTCGGTAGCAGGGGGTGTTTTTTTTCCTGGTTGTGAGTCTGAACATGAGCAGAGTGCTGGTTAAGTGATAACAAGCGGTCTGCAAACTTCACTGGACACTCGCTGGTGGTGATGGCTCGGAGGAGGCTGGACAGTCGCAGTGGATCCTCGGCTCTGCTGTCAGAGATCCACACTCACATCCACACGGATGCGCTGGACGCCGTGTTTGATATGAGCAACGAACTGGGCAGGTGTGTAAAATGCTCCATTATTACCTAAAATATGTCTTCTTTTAGGCAAGACTTCATCTAAAAGATGTCTTCTTTTAGGTGTTTCCATCTTAAAATGCTTAAATTGATGTTGTCATAATGTTTTTATGTAAGTTGATGAACAT